CAATCGGCCGATCCGACCCAAGAACTGAACTAAATTTTATCTTCGTTCATCCAAGGGAATGTGCACTCGGTCAACCAGACTGAATGAATGGTCCTTACACCATCGACAAGCAAAGCACTGACCCAGCCCAACATAAGGCCTACATGCCCTAGCCACTAGGCCACTCTAAAGTAACATACACGCATAGTGCACCTACAAGTAAAGAAACAACAGTTCATTCATCCAAGGAGACAGTATCAGAAGTCAAAATAGTCAAATGTTATATATATAACATCAAACAGAATACAAAAAAATGGCACACACGCCAGATGAAAGGGCATCACAGGCCCTAAAATACATAAATAAAGAAAAAGCTAAGTATCCTCAGCACGAGCTTCATCCTCCATCGCCGAATCAGTCACCATGTCCGCGCTGCCAACGCTTGGCCCAGCAGCCTGGTCGCCCGCATCATCAACACCCGATGGCCTTTGTTGGCTAAGGTCAAGCATCTGCTCGTCGTCCTGCCCCCCCGGATGACTACCCCCTTCTTCCAGTAACTCCTGCATGAGCAAGATGTCTTCATCTGGATCCCAATGAGAGGTCCGTCCTTCCTTGAACTCAAGCATGAGCTCACCTTGGGCCTTGATGATAGCATCATCAGCAATGGAGATGCACTGCTCCCTGAGAGATTCGACCTCTGCGGTTCTCTCAGCCAACTCACGCCTCAATCTCTCGACCTCCCGCTCACTATCCCTGAGGCGCTGCTGACTCTCCTGCTCAGCCTTTCCAGACGCTGCCTCCCTCTGGCGCAAGCTAGTATTGGCCTTGGACACATCCTGTATCTGTTTCTCTTGCGCCACAATGGACTTCCTCAGATGAAGACTGCTAGTGAGCACCTGCACAACAAAACATTGTCATCAGAACAAAATTCAAAACGAGAACACCAAGTAATACTGTCATACCTGAACGGGCGTGGGATACCCCCTAATCAGCAACAGCAGCAACTGCCCCCATTTGATTCAAACGCGCCTCATCTACCAGAAACAAGAAAGAGTTGGCCAGTTTGCTCATAGAAGTCGCATCGGAATAAGTCGATGCAGTAGCTGGAATCGTGAATGTAATCATCCCGGACTCCTCATCCACAACTGCAGCGTGGGACGACCCGGCCCCTATGGCAGGCTGCTGACTCGGCGGTGTCACCAACACATCCTCTACCCTCCTATCCTCCCTGGCCAAGGACTCCCTCCTCCTCTTCTCTCGGCGCCGGGCGATAGATTCACTCATTCTCGGGACGGTCAACTTCTTCATCAGCGATTCTGTAAGTGCAAATTCTCCAACTGTTAGTGGGTTCAACTCGGACTCACAAAAAATGATATGGTTGCAGTATCGACTCAGAAGCACATCCCAAGTCTGCTTCAGCGAGGGGAAGGGAGTACCTCTCTGTATAGCCTCTACTCCGGCCCAAAGAATGCTGGTCCTCAGGTTGGACTCTGCTAGCACTACTCACCAATTCCTTTACTCTAATAGGATGGCTAACACCCTCTGGGTAGCTACGTCCAAGCCGTCCCCGCTCTGCCCAGTACGATTGAAATCAAGCTTTGGAAGCAAAAAACACAATCAAGATTTAGTAATCAAAAGTACGAAAGAAACGACTAAGTTCTCACCAGTGGCTCGCCAGCCGATCGGGATCTTGCCCTGGCCTCTTTCTCCAAATACAGCTTGACCCCTCTGATAGAAATATCGGTCCTTCTAGTTCTTGTCACTGGACCGTAGATCGGTCACCAAGTGAGACCGATCATGCCTCAAGTTCAACAAGTAACGACCCTTCTCTTTATCATTTTCCTTCAAGAAGTACGAGTACAGCAGCTCGTACAGCCCGAACCTCACTTGGTTCCGAACACAGCGGTCTTAGCAGTCTCCAAGCATTCGGCATAAGTTGAGACGGGGCAATCATGAAGTGGTTGAGTACTTCCCACACAAGGCGAGGGACGGGTAGCCTCAACCCATCATGAAACCACTTCTCATAAACACTGATCCAACCTCTTGCCTCCCAGTCAACCCGCTCATACGACCGTGGCATCCGAATGTCAACCGAACTCGGAATGTGATACAAGGTCCGGATGTGCCACACATCACTATCTTTCAGCACGGGCGGATAGTCTCTAGTCAAAATCCCACTACCCTGTTGGCTCGGCGCCTCCTTGGAGCCACTACCAAAGGAGGATGAACTACCGACTCCTTCGTAGTTTTCCCCACTTCCCCCATGCTTACCCGAACCACTCGGGCCGAGAGTACTCGCACTTGGGGCAGCTACACTAACTCCGGTCGGCACCCCAATCGGGACGCCCTCTTCAGGCATCATCACTATTGTGGGGGCACGCTCATACTCATCCACAACACCCACCCCAATCTCACTTAAGCTTGCTGATTCGGTGTCTGACATGATGGCCCAATCGCCCAGACCGACTGACTCCGCCTAGCTTCAGAATTCCTAAAAAACTGTCAAAGAGCCACTCGCCCTGAGCGACCGATCGATCGAAGGAAGATACTCCACACAGCAATCAATCCCCCTTCAGCACCGGTCGACCTACCCGATAACAAGGTCGCTCCTAATCCTTGATCGACCCCTCCAACCGACAAACCCAGACCTCGATTCAAGACTTTCCCCTCTCAAACCAAGTGACCGACTCACCCTCAGATTCAGCACTAAGCCTACTCACCCTTGCTCGTCGATGGACTCACACAATATTACCCGTTCGGTCTGGATGACCGACCAACTATTCAATCCACTCACTCTTTCACCACTCGGTAAGACAGACCGACTGAACCAATACTAAACAAGACTTTGTCTTCCCGATCCCGACCAAAAAACCCAGAAAATAATCAAAACTATCGGATTCTTCTCGGATATCCACCGAAAAATTCAAATCTATGCCTATTCTCCAAATCCTAATACCAAAACACTTGGAAATCCAGTTAAAACCCACTCAAAAGTTCAAAAAACCTTCATTCTACCTCCCAAAGTTTCAACAAAAAACCAAAAACAAAGCAGAAAATCGGCTTAAAGAGAAAAAATGTTTACCTTGGAAGATTGCAGAAAAGACCACCGTCGCTCAAGAAACTGGGACAAAAAAGAAGAAAAAGGAAAGAAAATTTTTTTTGGACGAAAACAAGAAACAAACGTGAATGGAAGATGAACAGTCTGTTCCTCAGTTTTGTAAAGAAAATGCAAACATGTGGAAGTTTGTGATTGGCCAGTTGTCAGGGGTCTCTTCGTTTTCCCGCTCTTGAAACGACGGATCGATCACCACCATATACGTGGCAGCGATTTGAACCACCTGGGAAACCGTAGCCTTGTACGAAAGCTGCAGCTCGGTTGCCCAGCTCTTTTGGCCGACTCAGCTTGTACCTCCCGAAATGAGCCCAACGCACATCCAATCTTCACACCCCAACAAGTCCACTTGGCCCCTCGATCCACCCAACCGACTCAGCCTTTCAGTTCAGGAGTCCTCCCAAGCATCCCATGCTCAGCCGGCCCAAAAGGCCTGGTCGATCGATGTATGAACTTGGAATAGCCCGGGTCGAGCCCTCTTTAGAACAAAGTTGGAAGCCTCGCCCATTCATCCGTCCGTAGCGAACGAGTGGACAACGTGTAGTTGAGGTGCCTCACCCACTTGGTCGTCCCAACATCCCGACCGAGTGAAGCTTTTTAGTAAACTTCCTGAACTCGTCCGATCTGGCATGACAAATGAATGCCTCGTCTAACGCAATTCCCTTGCTAGTCGCACGGATGTACCTAACGACCACATCTAGTTCTCTGCTCTTCGGCTTGTCGAACCGATCAGGCAAATCGCAATGATGGCATACTCTAGGTCAGGAGTGGATACCGAACGATGTCTAATCAAGGATCACCTGCAACGGTCAGATCATTCACTCCAATGATCGTTCGTCCATGAGGGAAGACCGAGCTCGCCTTGAGCGCAACCTACTCTCTGACTTAAGATACTCTCAACTCAGAGAGTGGGGGACAAACTGTTAGGGCCAAAAATCGTCTTTGACCCAAATAAGAAAACAGGACCACTAGTGAAGAAAAGACCAGGCCCAGTCCTAAAGAGGCCCAAGCCAAATTAGTCCCATTTGATACGAGGTACGGCCGATCCAAACCATCTAGGCACGGGCCCCCCAGTTCCAACTCACCTCCTAGGCCAATAGACGAGTTCAGGGCCCACGGCCCCCCATTGATCATTTTCCTGTTCCTGTTCAATCTCCTATTCGAAGTCACTTTCCTATTCCTGATCACTTTCCTACTCGAAGTTACTTTCCTGATCAGAATCACTTTCCTAACCGGACACTGGAAAGACAACTTAACATGACCCAAATTCTTCTAGGGTTTGCATCAGAGTCACATTAGGACTCCTACTCCTACCAGGATTGGGAGACTAGACAGTCACTAAATAAACAGAGGCCAGTCCTCTCACAAAGGAGACTACGTTACACCTTCACACCCGAAGCTCCTACTTGAGAGCTTCACTTCACCGCTGTAGTCACAGTCCCTGACTAGATTTCCGGTAACCTCTTGCTCCCTAGCCTCCACTATATTAGCCTTTCAGCCTTGCTGACTTGAGCGTCGGAGTGCCTATGGCAAACACCACCCCGGTGTTTCCCGTTCGCTTCACGCGTGTGTTTTTCTACGTGTGCAGGTACAGCAGATCGCTAATGGTCTCATCCTCACGAGATTAGACCCCCCTTCCGTACAGGTAGATTTTTACGTCTATAGTTCTCTAACATGATAGCCTTAGATCTGATACTTCCATATCATGATATAATTCCAGACATAAGCTGAAGACAGTGTGCGTCAAAGTGTCTAGAGTCTATGTGTCAGTGTGGCCTACAAATCTACTGAGCGATGAAGTGTTATGAGAGTTGTCAAGTGTTACTCTCACAGAGTGAGCCTTGGGTTTCTTGGTGTATATAATATTGTGCAAGTGTTGTACATTTTTCAACTTTAGACAGAGATTTATTACTTACTATCTTTCAAGCTCTAAGAAATATGATCAATAATGTTGTAATTTGTACAGATCTTAATATAAATAGACAGCCTTTTCTAGCTTACGTAGAAGCTGAAGGATGATAAGGACTGGGAATAACGTGCAGATCGTCTTTTCTTCCAACTGTTATACCAAAGGCCTCCGTCATGTCCAAATCCTCATTCTTCATTCCAGCAGGAAGTTCCCAATCAAAATGGTGCAGAAACATTGCCAGAGGAAGCTCAATATTGGCTAGACCAAATGACATTCCAGGGCATATTCTTCTACCAGCACCAAATGGGATGTATTCAAAATTAGTCCCCTTGTAGTCCACAGAATGATTGAGAAACCTCTCCGGTTTGAAGATCTCAGGTTCACTCCAATTTTCTGTATCTCTTCCAATTGCCCATGCATTAACAATGACTTTGGTTTTTATGGGTATGTCAAATCCATTGATCACACATTTTTCTCTACATTCTCTTGGAACTAACAAAGGCACCGGAGGATGCAGTCTTAAAGTCTCTTTTACTACTAGCTTCAAGAATTTCAATTCATCAATGCATGATTCATCGATCTTACCATTTCTATTAAAGACTTCCCTCACTTCAGCTTGTGCCTTCTTCAGCACTCTTGTGTTTTTCATCATTTCGGACATTGCCCAATCTATTGTTGTGGCAGCTGTGTCACCACCGGCACCAAAAATGTCCTGAAAAGAGGAATATAATATGAACTTGATCTGATTTCAGCTATTAGACCCGAAGATTTTCAACTAAGATTGTGCAAGGACAAATTTCTTGTTATATATATATATATATTATTAATATCGCTCACTGATCTTAAAAGTTTGCAGATGCAAGCACAGTACTAAACCGAGAAAATGAAGACAAACATGGGATTGACTCTTTCAGAAAACTGATTTAGCTTCAATTTCAGTTTCGTTCACCTGCTGGAAAAAAAATTAATGTATTAATTGCACAACAAGTACTTACCGAGACAACTGCTTTGATGTTGTCGGTAGTCAAAGGAAATTCAAGATCACATGCTCCTGAAGTTTCAAAAGAACATCAACAAGATCTTCAGTTTTCTCAGTACTCTGGTCAACGTTTAATGTTTCCCGGCTCTTCTTGTGTTCATTAATAATTTTTTCAACTATTCTATCAGCTTCTTGATGCAGCTTCTCCACTTGAGACTTGATTCCAGTGATACTTGAAGAAATTCAATGGAAGGAAAACAGATCTCCATATTGAAACCTGAACACACTTTTGATATTTCTTATAACTGTTGTGAATAATTCCTGTCTTGGACTGCTGCCGAAGGCTGCCCTGGATGTGATACCATATATTAGTGAGGTGATTTTCTCTGTAAGGTTGATGGTGATCCTGCTTTTGAAGCAATCCAATCAGTTAGAATAGACACCTCTTCCTCTCTTATTGATCGGAAAGACTGGACTGTCGCATGCTAAAAAGTCCAATGTGCAAATTTTCCGTAGTTGTCTCCAATAATCACCATATGGCGAAAAGATTATATCAGGATAATCATAGGACGTGATTTTTACTGATAGAACCTCAGGCCTTGAGGCAAAGCTAACATCATAGGTTTTCATAACTTCTTTGGCAAATTCGGGCGAAGAAACAACAACAGTGGAAACCTCTCCAAGCTGTAGAGCATAAATGGTCCATATTTCCTGGCCAAGTCTGTTAATCTGTGATGGGGTAGAGATCAACAAGGAGGTGCATATTTCCTATGACCGGTAATTTCAAGGCCCTGGAGGTAAATGAAAGGTTTGTCAAAGGTCTTGAATCTCTTCCTTATTTCAGCACCATGAAGAGGAAGAGAAAAAATGGTAAGAGGATTGAGAAGCTGGGACATGTCCACTCCATGAGAAGACAAGAAGATTGAGAGGACCGGGATACTTAAATCTTGTTCACCTTGATTTTAGATACCCTTTAGTGATGCCTTTCTAAAAGTGATTCTTTAGCCGGAGTCTCAAGGATGGTTATGGTTCGAATGATTCCATCCATAAAAGACAATTAAAATATTTTTAAAGTTTGAAAACGAATTTTAACTATACATAATGGTATCATTTGTCTAAATCTCCAACATTGAATAACATGGAATTAGAGGTGGGGATGCCATTTTTTTTGCACGGCCCACCATGTCATGGCATAAAAATTTCGTGCTGTGCCATGGCCGTGGGCCGTGCTGTGAGTTCAAGATTTGGCACATGGGCCAGCACGACATAGCCCGTAAATTTAAAAGAAAAATTAATATAGCCTTTGCAACAACTTATTCAAGTGCAACGTGCTGTTGACTACTAAAGTAATCGTGGCCTTGGGTTTTGGTTGTCTGGCACGACCCATAGCAGATGGATGTTGAAAATTTTGGACGGCATGGCACAGTCCACCGCCACTTTACATAGAGTAAATAGACATCATCTCCATTTCAACAACCCGAATTATTATTATATTATTATTATTATTATGGTGATTGGAGTGTTTAAACCAGTTTGCTTACACTTCAACTAATATTCGAGATTTATTAAACACCTTATAAGCTAGTGGGCCAAATAGTCACAAACTAGTCATTGAGATCTATTGAATATTTACAATCCAATAAGTCAGGTAAGTCACAAAGCGATAATGATTACTTGGAGAACTCCAACACAAAACCTCAAGGTAACAAAAGGACCTGCCATCCGATCATAAGCCAAGTCGTTAACAACCATAGTTGGCTAGCGTGTAGGTCTCGTAGCTGAACAACCCCAAATTTGTCGGAAAGATGGATAATTATTTCTTATATGTTACAAGTTAATTGATAAAAAAAACGAAGAGGAGATAAACCCAATCAAGTCAATATTTCTCAGAAATTGATTTCCTGATTCTTATTAGTTGTTCCGCAAAACACTGTTGATGAAGTCTAGCTAAACAACTTCTTTTATATACGTTTGTATTCAAAGATGGGGATTTGGTAGGCGGGATAATTTCACACACATTCTCAAGCAAGTATAAAATTTTTGCATGCAGCAGGTCAATATTGCCTCAAGATCTCTCCCTTGTAGTTGGATAACAAACCCTTTAACCATTGTGGTTAGTTATAACAGGAGTCTTGTGTTCGAATGAAAAGAGAGGTATCTATCACATTTATGTAATTACCTTGATCTATTAGGTTTGTAGGGTGTTTCGTAATCTTGCATATTAGATATATCTCAATATGAGTCTGGATACCTCAGATACCTAAACAAATATATTACCTCAAGATTATGATGAACAATCTATTTATATGTTTACGTGCAGTTTTTAAATGAAAGTAAATAATTTCTTTGCTCCAACTACTGGCTCGCAAGCAGATATTGCAAGGTAAAGGGATTGTGAAGAGCCAAAAGAAAATGATTTTATACAAATGCTCTGGTATGGACTGGAATCACATAGGGTAGTCTAAGCACGACATTGCATAGCATTAAGTAAATTGTATAGAATAAATAGCGTTATATGTATTAATTATGTAATGGTATACGAAATGGTGTATGAGGTATACGAAATGGTGTATGACGTTTGAAAAATATTGACATGTATTATTTATTACTATGATATGTGGTGTATGATTTACATGCGATAGAATTATTTTTTATGTCTAACGAAAAATATTTTATTAAGAAGGAATATATATTTTTCATTTATTATTTAACTAAAAAATTATAAAAAAAAAAAAAAAAACTCAGAATTTGAACCAAACGAGTGGTCAATGTCCAGCAATTTTAGTCAATGCCGCTCAGTGTTATTGTTTGACCATCGAAACTCCAGTGAACACTTGTCAATGCCAATCAAACATTGGTCAGCATGGGAAACTATGGTCCATATCGGTCAACGCGACATTGACCAGCCACTTCATGTTCTAATTCATAAATTTTAAAAAATAGACATGTATATTGAGTGTAAAATAATGTTAGAAGTAAAACTGTATTAACTAATAGAATTGTTTGACTAGGCATTATTTAATATGAATAATTACATTACTTTAAATTTTGTATTATTTAATATAGTGCAGTTTTGTTACCAAACATTGTATTGTATTATTATTAAGTACCGTGCAGTTTAGCTAATAATGTCTCGCGTAAAAACATGCCTTTAGTGCGGAAGAGTTGTTGTGTGGCAAATCCCTGAAGTAGGATTCACGTTACGTGTCATTCTTTTTAGGTTAATTTTATTTATAATTAAGTTCGTCATTGTAATAATATATAAGCTTACTTTTATTTAAATTAGAGCAATTTTTTTTTATAGATACTTTGAAAGCCGTGCACATAAAAATATAAAAAACAATACAGAACAATGGACATAAGATTTGTATCTAGCATCCGAACCATTTTAATAGTTATGTCTTGTACTATTGTTGGTTTCCCATTCATCTATGATCCAACATTGAAATCATGGGTTTTCATACAAACTCCTACATAGACTCACTATAGATCCTACGTACTTCTCATTGGTGCAAATCACAGCACAACAAGCCTAATTATCCAAAGATTTTAATCATTTTGGTGAGTGATGAAGAAGCTAGAGGAAGATAAGGTATGGGAATAATGTGCAGGTTATGTTTCTTCCAACTGCTATACCAAAGGCTCCGTCATGTCCAAATCTTCATTCTTCATCCATTTGGAAGCTTCCAATGAAAATGATACAGGAACATGGCTAGTGGAAGCTCAACATTGGCTAGACCGAATATCATTCCGGGGCATATTCTGCCCAGCACCAAATGGGATGTATTCAAAATTAGTCCCTTAAAATCAAGAGAACTATTAGGAACCTCTCTGGATTGAAGATCTCGGGCTCACTCCAATATTCTGGATCTCTCCAATCGCCCATGCGGTAACAATGACTCTGGTTTGACGGGTAGTCGAAGCCATTAATCACACATCTCTCTCTGCATTCTCTTGGAACTAACAGAGGTGCAGGAGGGTGAAGTCTTAGGTCTCTTTACTACAAGCTTCAAGAATTTCATTTCTCCGATGCTGTTTCATCGATCTTGCCTTTTCTATTGAAGACTTCCCTCACTTCAGTTGTGCCTTCTTCAGCACTCTTGTATTTTTTCATTTCGGACATGGCCCAATCTATTAATGTGGCAGCGTCTCCCCACCGGCACCCAAATGTCTGGAAAGGGAATATGTATGAACTTTTCTCAGTTAAACTATTACTAAAAGTAGTCTCAAACAAAATTTTGTAAGGACAAATTCTAGATTGTTACGAATCTTGAGGTTTGCAGATGTAAGCCAAGTATTAAACAGGGAAAATTAAAGGGAAAGATGGGATTGAAACACATGATTTCGCTTCAATTTAATAAGTTGCAACTATTGGAAAAGGAATTAAGTATGGATTGCACAAGTACTTACGGAGATCACTGATTTGATGTTCAGTAGTCAAAGGAAATTCAAGATCACCATGCTCTTGAACTTTCAAAAGAACATCAACAAGATCTTCACTCTTCACTCTTGTCAATGTTTAAAGGTGCCTGGCCCTTCTTGTGTTCATTATAATTTTTTCAACTACTCTATCAGTCTTCATGCAGCTTCTCTACCTGAGACTTGACTCCAGTGATCCATTGAAGAAATTCAATGGAAGGAAACAGATCTGAATGTTAAAACCTGCACACACTTTTGATGTTTCTTTCATTACTGATATGAATAATTCCTGATCTTTGGACTTGCTACCGAAAGCGCCTGGAAGTGATACCATATATAGTGATTGAATTTTCTCTGTAAGGTTGATTGGTGATCCTGCTTCTGAAGCAATCCAATCAATGAGAGCAGACACCTCTTCCTCTCTTATTGATCGGAAAGATTGACTCGTCGCCTGCTGAAAAGCTCCAACGTGCAAATTTTTCGCAGTTGTCTCCAATAATCACCAAATGGTGAAAAGGTTATATCAGTATTATCATAGAACAAGATTTTTGTTGCTAGAACCTAGGCCTTGATGCAAAGTAACATCATGGGTTTTCATAACTTTTTTGGCTATTCGGGCGAAGAAGCAACAACAGTAGAAACTTCTCAAGCTGAAGATGCATAAGTGGTCCATATTTCCTGGCCAAGTCTGTTAATCTGTGATGGGGTAGAGATCCAAAAAGCTGGTGCAGGTTTCCGATGAGAGGTAATTTCGACGGGCCTGGAGGCAAACGAAATTTTTTGTCGATGGTTTTTGATCTCTTCCTTATTTTCAGGACCAAATAGAAGAAGAGAAGAAAAGTGAGAAGGATTGAAAAGCTTGGAAATGCGAAATCCATGAGAAAACATCTAAAGATGAGAGGATCGGATTATGAGTCTGTGCACCTTTCTGTTTTCTGAAAGATAATATATAGCTGGAGCGAGGACGGTTTTGGCTGCAATAATTGTATCCATAAAAAGTAATTAGATTATTTTATCCAGCGCCTTTAAAACGATATTCTAACTACACGTTGCATCAATCAATGATCCGAATCTCCAAAGTGCAAATCCAAATTAAAAAAAAAAAAAAAAAGATAAAGCAGAGCTCATTTTCCACTGTCAACAACCCCACTTATTATCATTTTGATAAATAATTTCAACGTGTTAAATGTTATTGATAATTGACATGCAAATTGGTAAAATAATAAAATAATTAATAATGTACATTAGAATTATGGGCAATCAGGTTCATATCGTTCCTGGAATTTAAAACCCCGAATCCTTCTATTGTAGTTCACAAATAGCAGAGAAGAAGTTACAGTTAAGTGAAAAAGAAAAATGTAATAAAATTAAGACATGGTACTCAGATTAGCAGAGAACATTATTTCAAGCTTCATTAATATAAAGCTAGCCACATTCTTCATTTGAGCCTATGAAACAGTGTTCGGATGAAAAGGAATGGGAATCAGGCACAAATCCTTCTTCCTTCTGACTGTCCCACCAAAGCGCTCTGTCATGTCCAGATCTTCAGCTTTCATTCCATTAGGAAGTTCCAGTCAGAATGGTATGCAACAATTGCTAGAGGGAGCTCCACATTGCTAGACCAATGAAACCCCAGGCACATCCTTCTTCCAGCACCAAATGGGATGTACCAAAATTGTCCCCTATAGCCAACAGAACAACCGATGAGCCTTTCTGGAATAGAACTCTCAGGTTCTTTCGAATATGAAATGCAGAAACGTTGAAATTATCGTTCTTCGCAGGGTCAAATAAAAGCAATAGCTGTTTGCTTATGTTAATCTGTCACTATCTACACAGATAGTCCAAGAGGCCAAATTTTGGTGAGTTATTTCTTGTACTTACCAAAAACCATTAATTATTATCAGAAATATGGATAAAATATTTAAAATCTATTTTGTCAATGGAATTAAAAATAAAATATCATTTCAATTAAATACCAATAAATGTGAATGAATGATATGTCAATCGAACAATTAACCACATTTGTTTGTATATCAAGTGGTGCTGTATTGTTTGAAAATCTTCCAATATTTAACAACAATCAAGATAAAACAACCACAACAATACACTAAATTTACCGTGGTTCACCTATCCAAGATTAGGTAGGCTACGTCCACGCTGAGCTCCGGAATCAGAGGAGCTCGCTGCACTAATCAATTTGTTCAAGAGTTTACACCATAGATCAAAGATCAATCACTCAAGAATACAACTCAACCTTTCCCGTAATCCTACCTAGAGAACACAATCAGATTCCCAAAGAATTTGAGAGTAAAACCCCTCTCACTTGAATGAAAAACCAAACACTCACTCACCAAGATTACACAGATTGAATGTAAAAAGAGTAAAACCCTTCAACAATTGCTCCTAAATTCATGAAGAAGAGAACCTATAGCTATTTCCCAATTTGCTCCTTTATATAGTGTTGACCATATTGTTGATTTTCAGCCATTGGATCTGCAGTTGATTAACAGCCAGGATTTAATTCAACAGCTCCCAAAACGATGTCACACCACTTATGACCAAAACAGCACCGTTTCATGTCTTCAACTCAACAATCTCCACCTTGAAGACTTGAAACAGTCATCCTAACAACCATTAATCAGTGCAGCTCACTCAAATCCAAGTCCCTCATCACTCTAATGCTCCAGCCTAATTTACAAACAACAAATTCAAGCAGTGCTTGAATTTGGCTGCTGTGACTACCTTAGTACCCATATCGGTTGGATTGTTTTATGTAGCAATTTTCTTCAAATCAATCTCACCTGAAGCCACCAAGTCCCTCACAAAGTGATAGCGTACATCCACATGCTTGTTTTTTTTTTGGTAAATAGGATTTTTGCTCAAGTGGATCGCACTCTGGCTGTTTGAGTAGATTGTCACCTTTCCATCTGTCAAATTTGCCTCTGATAGGGTTCCTTTAACCATACTGCCTCCTTGAATATATCTGCAACTGCAATGTACTTGGCTTCTGTCGATGAGAGATCCACAATGGGTTGTAGTTGTGATTTCCAACTTATGTAGTTTCCTCCAAGGGTAAAGTAATAAGAAGTGGTGGATTTCTTTGTGTCTTTATCACCTGCAAAGTCAGAATCTACAAAACCAATCAAATCAAGTGAAATATCCCTTTTTCCATATTCTAATCCAAACCACAATGTACTGTTAATGTATTTAATCACCCATTTTAAAGTAGTCCAATGTTCAGCCCCTGGATTGGACATAAATCTACTTAACATGGATATGGCAAATGACAAATCAGGCCTAGTACTAATCATTGCATACATAACAGATCCTACAGCATTAGCATATGGTACAGACTCCATTTTAATCAATTCAGCATCAGTTTTTGGACATTGGTCTTTACTCAACATGAAGTGGCTGGCTAAAAGCATAGAGACAAAGATCAATTTTTTTATTGATACTTTGAAAGCCGTAGGTGCACATAAAAAAACATACAAGAACAATGGACTAAGATTTGTATCTAGCATCCAACCATTTTAAAATCTATTTCTTGTACTATTGTTTGGTTTCCCATTCATCTATTGATCCAACATTGAAATCATGGGTTTTCAAACAAACTCCTACATAGACTCTACTATAGATCCTACGTACTTCTCATTGGTGCAAATCACAGCACAACAAGCTTAATTATCCAAAGATTTTAACATTTTTGGTGAGTGATGAAGAGCTAGAGGAAGATAAGGTATGGGAATAATGTGCAGGTTATGTTTTCTTCCAACTGCTATACCAAAGGCCTCCGTCATGTCCAAATCTCATTCTTCATTCCATTTGGAAGCTTCCAATGAAAATGATACAGGAACATGGCTATGGAAGCTCAACATTGGCTAGACCGAATATCATTCCGGGGCATATTCTCCTGCCAGCACCAAATGGATGTATTCAAAATTAGTCCCCTTAAAATCAAGAGAACTTTAGGAACCTCTCTGGATTGAAGATCTCGGGCTCACTCCAATATTCTGGATCTCTTCCAATCGCCCTGCGTTAACAATGACTCTGGTTTTGATGGTATGTCGAAGCCATTATCACACATCTCTCTCTGCATTCTCTTGGAACTAACAGAGTGCAGGAGGGTGAGTCTTAGAGTCTCTTTTACTACAAGCTTCAAGAATTTCATTTCCTCGATGCTTGTTTCATCGATCTTGCCTTTTCTATTGAAGACTTCCCTCACTTCAGCTTGTGCTCTTCAGCACTCTTGTATTTTTTATCATTTCGGACTGGCCCAATCTATTAAGTGGCAGCTGTCTCCCCACCGGCACCAAAAATTCCTGGAAAGAGGAATAGTATGAACTTTTCTCAGTTAAACTATTACTAAAAGTATCCAAAAAAAATTTGTAAGGACAAATTCTAGATGTTACGAATCTTGAAGGTTTGCAGATGTAAGCCAAGTATTAAACAGGGAAAATTAAAGGGAAAGATGGGATTGAAACACTGATTTCGCTTCAATTTATAAGTTGCAACTATTGGAAAGGAATGTATGGAATTGCACAAGTACTTACGGAGATCACTGATTTGATGTTGTCAGTAGTCAAAGGAAATTCAAGATCACCATGCTCTTGAACTTTCAAAAGAACATCAACAAGATCTTCAGCTTCTTCACCTTGTCAATGTTTAAAGGTGCCTGGCCCTTCTTGTGTTCATTAATAATTTTTTCAACTACCTATCAGCTTCTTCATGCAGCTTCTCTACCTGAGACTTGACTCCAGTGATCCATTGAAGAAATTCAATGGAAGGAACAGATCTGCAATGTTAAACCTGCACACACTTTTGATGTTTCTTTCATTACTATATGAATAATTCCTGATCTTTGGACTTGCTCCGAAAGCTGCCCTGGAAGTGATACCATATATCAGTGATTGAATTTTCTCTGTAAGGTTGATTGGTGATCCTGCTTCTGAGCAATCCAATCAATGAGAGCAGACACCTCTTCCTCTCTTATTGATCGGAAAGATTGGACTCGTCGCATCTGAAAAGCTCCAACGTGCAAATTTTTCGCAGTTTGTCTCCAATAATCACCAAATGGTGAAAGTTATATCAGTATTATCATAGAACAAGATTTTTGTTGCTAGAACCTCAGGCCTTGATGCAAAGCTAACATCATGGGTTTTCATAACTTTTTTGGCATATCGGGCGAAGAAGCAACAACAGTAGAAACTTCTCCAAGCTGAAGATGCATAAGTGGTCCATATTTCCTGGCCAAGTCTGTTAATCTGTGATGGGGTAGAGATCCAAAAAGCTGGTGCAGGTTTCCGATGAGAGGTAATTTCGACGGCCCTGGAGGCAAACGAAATTTTTGTCGATGGTTTTTGATCTCTTCCTTATTTTCAGACCAAATAGAAGAAGAGAAGAAAAGTGAGAAGGATTGAAAAGCTTGGAAATGCGAAATCCATGAGAAACAGCTAGAAGAAGATTGAGAGGATCGGATTATGAGTCTTGTGCACCTTTTCTGCTTTTCTGAAAGATAATTATATAGCTGGAGCAAGGTTTTGGCTGCAATAATTGATCCATAAAAAGTAATTATATATTATTTATCCCACCTTTAAAACATATTCTAACTACAGTTGCATCAAATCAATGATCCGAATCTCCACAGTGCAAATCCTAATTAAAAAAAAAAAAAAAGATAAGCAAGCTATTTTCCACTGTCCAACACCCCCTTATTTATCATTTTTGATAAATAATTTCAACGTGTTAATGATCTGATAATGATATGCAAATTGGTAATATAAAATAAATTAATAATGTACTTAGAATTATGAGGCAATCAGGTTCATATCGTTCCTGGAATTTAAAACCCCGAATCCTTCTATTGTAGTTCCACAAATAGCAGAGAAGTTTACAGTTAAGTGAAAAAGAAAATGTAATAAAATTAGACATGGTACCAATTACAGAGAACTATTTCTTAAAGCTCATTAATAAGCTAGCCCACATTCTTCATTTGAGCCTATGAAACGTGTTCGGATGAAAAGGATGGGAATCAGGCACAAATCCTCTTCCTTCTGACTGTCCCACCAAAGCGCTCTGTCATGTCCAGATCTTCATGCTTCATTCCATTAGGAAGTTTCCAGTCAGAATGGTATAGCAACATTGCTAGAGGGAGCTCCACATTGGCTAGACCAATGAAACCCCAGGCACACTCCTTCTTCCAGCACCAAATGGGATGTACTCAAAATTAGTCCCCGTATAGCCAACAGAACAACCTGAGCCTTTCTGGATAGAACTCTCGGTTCTTTCGATACTGAAATGCAGAAACGTTGAAATTATCTGTTCTTCGCAGGGTCAAATAAAAGCAATAGCTGTTTGCTTATGTTAATCTGTCACTATCTACACAGAAGTCCAAGAGCCCAAATTGGGTGAGTTATTTTCTTTGTACTTACCAAAAACCATTAATTATTTATCAGAAATATTGGATAAATATTTAAATCTATTTTTGTCAATGGATTAAAAATAAAATATCATTTCAATTAAATCTCAATAAATGTGAATGATGATATGTCAATCGAACAATTATACCACATTTGTTTGTATATCAAGTGGTGCTGTATTGTTTGAAAATCTTCCAATTTTACACACATCAAGATAAAACACCCACAACAATACACACAATTTACCGTGGTTCACCTATCCAGATTGGTAGGCTACGTCCACGCTGCACTCCGGAATCAGAGGAGCTCGCTGCACTAATCAATTTGTTTCAAGAGTTTACACCAAGATCAAGATCAATCACTCAAGATAACAACTCAACCTTTCCCGTAATCCTACCTAGAGAACACAATAGTATTCCAAAGATTTGAGAGTAAAACCCCTCTCACTTGAATGAAAAACCAAACACTCACTCACCAAGATTACACAGATTGAATGTCAAATGATTGAGAAGCTGGGACATGTCCACTCCATGAGAAGACAAGAAGATTGAGAGGACCGGGATACTTAAATCTTGTTCACCTTGATTTTAGATACCCTTTATGTATGCCTTTCTAAAAGATGATTCTTTAGCTGGAGCATCTCAAGGATGGTTATGGTTCCAATGATTCCATCCATAAAAGACAATTAAAATATTTTTTTAAAGTTTGAAAACGATATTTTAACTATACTATAATGGTATCATTTGTCTAAATCTCCAACATTGAATAACATGGAATTAGAGGTGGCGATGCCATTTTTTTTGCACGGCCCACCATGTCATGGCATAAAAATTTCGTGCTGTGCCATGGCCCGTGGGCCGTACTGTGAGTTCAAGATTTGGCACATGGGCCAGCACGACATAGCCCGTAAATTTAAAAGAAAAATTAATATAACCTTTGCAACAACTATATTCAAGTGCAACGTAGCTGTTGACTACTAAAGTAATCGTGAGCCTTGGGTTTTGGTTGTCTGGCACGACCCATAGCACGATGGATGTTGAAAATTTTGGCACGGCATGGCACAGTCCACCGCCACTTTTACATAGAGTAAATAGACATCATTCTCCATTTTCAACAACCCGAATTATTATTATTATTATTATTATTATTATTATTGGTGATTGGAGTGTTTAAACCAGTTTGCTTACACTTCAACTAATATTCGAGATTTATTAAACACCTTATAAGTCTAGTGGGCCAAATAAGTCACAAACTAGTCATTGAGATCTATTGAATACTTTACAAATCCAATAAGTCAGGTAAGTCACAAATGCGATAAGTGATTACTTGGTAGAACTCAAACACAAAACCTCAAGGTAACAAAAGGACCTGCCATCCGATCATAAGCCAAGTGGTTAACAACCACAGTTGGCTAGCGTGCAGGTCTCATAGTTGAACAACCCCAATTATTTGTCGGAAAGATTGGATAATTATTTCTTATATGTTACAAGTTAATTGATAATTTACTCGGAAAATTGATGAAATAAATAAATAAATAACGAAGAGGAGATAAACCCAATCAAGTCAATATTTCTCAGAAATTGATTTCCTGATTCTTATTAGTTGTTCCGCAAATAACACTGTTGATGAAGTCTAGCTAAACAACTTCTTTTATATACGTTTGTATTCAAAGATGGGGCATTTGGTAGGCGGGATAATTTCCACACACATTCTCAAGCAAGTATAAAATTTTTGCATGCAGCAGGTCAATATTGCCTCAAGATCTCTCCCCTTGTAGTTGGATAACAAACCCTTTAACCATTGTGGTTAGTTATAACCAGGGGTCTTGTGTTCGAATGAAAAGAGAGGTATCTATCACATTTATGTAATTACCTTGATCTATTAGGTTTGTAGGGTGTTTCGTAATCTTGCATATTAGATATACTCTAATATGAGTCTGGATACCTCAGATACCTAAACAAAATATATTACCTCAAGATTATTGATGAACAATCTATTTATATGTTTACGTGCAGTTTTTAAATGAAAGTAAATAATTTCTTTGCTCCAACTACTGGCTCGCAAGCAGATATTGCAAGGTAAAGGGATTGTGAAGAGCCAAAAGAAAATGATTTTATACAAATGCTCTGGTATGGACTGGAATGCACATAGGGTATGTCTAATGCACGACATTGCATAGCATTAAGTAAATTGTATAGAATATAATAGCGTTATATTGTATTAATTATGTAATGGTATACGAAATGGTGTATGAGGTATACGAAATGGTGTATGACGTTTGATAAAATATTGCATTGTATTACTTTTATACTATGATATGTTTGGTGTATGATTTACATTGCATAGAATTATTTTTTATGTCTAACGAAAAATTATTTTATTAAGAAGTAATATATATTTTTCATTTATTATTTAACTAAAAAATTATAAAAAAAAAAAAAAAACTCAGAATTTGAACCAACGAGTGGTCAATGTCCAGCAATTTTAGTCAATGCCGCTCAGTGTTATTGTTTGACCATCGAAACTCCAGTGAACACTTGTCAATGCCAATCAAACATTGGTCAGCATGGGTCAAACTATGGTCAATATCGGTCAACGCGACATTGACCAGCCACTTCATGTTCTAATTCATAAATTTTAAAAATAATAGACATTGTATATTGAGTGTAAAATTAATGTTAGAAGTAAAACTGTATTAACTAATAGAATTGTTTGACTAGGCATTATTTAATATAGAATAAATTACATTACTTTAAATTTTGTATTATTTAATATAGTGCAGTTTTGTTACCAAACATTGTATTGTATTATTATTAAGTACCGTGCAGTTTAGCTAATAATGTCTCGCGTAAAACATGCCTTTAGTGCGGAAGAGCTTTGTTGTGTGGCAAATCCCTGAAGTACGGATTCACGTTACGTGTCATTCTTTTTAGGTTAATTTTATTTATAATTAAGTTCGTCATTGTAATAATATATAAGCTTACTTTTTATTTAAATTAGAGATCAATTTTTTTTTATAGATACTTTGAAAGCCGGTGCACATAAAAAATATAAAAAACAATACAAGAACAATGGACATAAGATTTGTATCTAGCATCCGAACCATTTTAATAGTCTATGTCTTGTACTATTGTTTGGTTTCCCATTCATCTATTGATCCAACATTGAAATCATGGGTTTTCATACAAACTCCTACATAGACTCTACTATAGATCCTACGTACTTCTCATTGGTGCAAATCACAGCACAACAAGCCTAATTATCCAAAGATTTTAATCATTTTTGGTGAGTGATGAAGAAGCTAGAGGAAGATAAGGTATGGGAATAATGTGCAGGTTATGTTTTCTTCCAACTGCTATACCAAAGGCCTCCGTCATGTCCAAATCTTCATTCTTCATTCCATTTGGAAGCTTCCAATGAAAATGATACAGGAACATGGCTAGTGGAAGCTCAACATTGGCTAGACCGAATATCATTCCGGGGCATATTCTCCTGCCAGCACCAAATGGGATGTATTCAAAATTAGTCCCCTTAAAATCAAGAGAACTATTTAGGAACCTCTCTGGATTGAAGATCTCGGGCTCACTCCAATATTCTGGATCTCTTCCAATCGCCCATGCGTTAACAATGACTCTGGTTTTGACGGGTATGTCGAAGCCATTAATCACACATCTCTCTCTGCATTCTCTTGGAACTAACAGAGGTGCAGGAGGGTGAAGTCTTAGAGTCTCTTTTACTACAAGCTTCAAGAATTTCATTTCCTCGATGCTTGTTTCATCGATCTTGCCTTTTCTATTGAAGACTTCCCTCACTTCAGCTTGTGCCTTCTTCAGCACTCTTGTATTTTTTATCATTTCGGACATGGCCCAATCTATTAAAGTGGCAGCTGTCTCCCCACCGGCACCAAAAATGTCCTGGAAAGAGGAATATGTATGAACTTTTCTCAGTTAAACTATTACTAAAAGTAGTATCTCAAACAAAATTTTGTAAGGACAAATTCTAGATTGTTACGAATCTTGAAGGTTTGCAGATGTAAGCCAAGTATTAAACAGGGAAAATTAAAGGGAAAGATGGGATTGAAACACTGATTTCGCTTCAATTTAATAAGTTGCAACTATTGGAAGAGGAATTACAGTATGGAATTGCACAAGTACTTACGGAGATCACTGATTTGATGTTGTCAGTAGTCAAAGGAAATTCAAGATCACCATGCTCTTGAACTTTCAAAAGAACATCAACAAGATCTTCAGCTTCTTCACTCTTGTCAATGTTTAAAGGTGCCTGGCCCTTCTTGTGTTCATTAATAATTTTTTCAACTACTCTATCAGCTTCTTCATGCAGCTTCTCTACCTGAGACTTGACTCCAGTGATCCATTGAAGAAATTCAATGGAAGGAAACAGATCTGCAATGTTAAAACCTGCACACACTTTTGATGTTTCTTTCATTACTGATATGAATAATTCCTGATCTTTGGACTTGCTGCCGAAAGCTGCCCTGGAAGTGATACCATATATCAGTGATTGAATTTTCTCTGTAAGGTTGATTGGTGATCCTGCTTCTGAAGCAATCCAATCAATGAGAGCAGACACCTCTTCCTCTCTTATTGATCGGAAAGACTGGACTCGTCGCATACTGAAAAGCTCCAACGTGCAAATTTTTCGCAGTTGTCTCCAATAATCACCAAATGGTGAAAAGGTTATATCAGTATTATCATAGAACAAGATTTTTGTTGCTAGAAACTCAGGCCTTGATGCAAAGCTAACATCATGGGTTTTCATAACTTTTTTGGCATATTCGGGCGAAGAAGCAACAACAGTAGAAACTTCTCCAAGCTGAAGATGCATAAGTGGTCCATATTTCCTGGCCAAGTCTGTTAATCTGTGATGGGGTAGAGATCCAAAAAGCTGGTGCGGGTTTCCGATGAGAGGTAATTTCGACGGCCCTGGAGGCAAACGAAAATTTTTGTCGATGGTTTTTGATCTCTTCCTTATTTTTCAGTACCAAATAGAAGAAGAGAAGAAAAGTGAGAAGGATTGAAAAGCTTGGAAATGCGAAATCCATGAGAAAACAGCTAGAATAGAAGATTGAGAGGATCGGATTATGAGTCTTGTGCACCTTTTCTGCTTTTCTGAAAGATAATTATATAGCTGGAGCGAGGATGGTTTTGGCTGCAATAATTGTATCCATAAAAAGTAATTAATAGATTATTTTATCCAGCACCTTTAAAACGATATTCTAACTACAGTTGCATCAAATCAATGATCCGAATCTCCACAGTGCAAATCCTAATTAAAAAAAAAAAAAAAAAGAATAAAGCAGAGCTCATTTTCCACTGTCAACAACCCCCACTTATTTATCATTTTTGATAAATAATTTCAACATGTGTTAAATGTTATCTGATAATTGACATGCAAATTCGATAAATAATAAAAGAAAGTTACAGTTAGCAGAGAGGAAGTTTCAGTTAAGTGAAATAGAAAAATGTAATAAAAGAAAAGATTTTAACAATACATGAATAAAATTAAGACATGGTACTAAATAGATCCATTGAAGTTTAGGAGAACTCAGATTAGCAGAGAACATTATTTCTTAAAAGCTTCATTAATATAAAGCTAGCCCACATTCTTCATTTGAGCCTATGAAACAGTGTTCGGATGATAAGGAATGGGAATCAGGCACAAATCCTTCTTCCTTCTGACTGTCCCACCAAAGCGCTCTGTGATGTCCAGATCTTCATGCTTTAGTCCATTAGGAAGTTTCCAGTCAAAATGGTATAGCAACATTGCTAGAGGAAGCTCCACATTGGCTAGACCAATAAAACCCCAAGGCACATCCTTCTTCCAGCACCAAATGGGATGTACTCAAAATTAGTCCCCGTATAGCCAACAGAACAACTAATGAACCTTCCTGAAATAGAACTCTCAGGTTCTTTCCAATACTGAAATGCAGAAACGTTGAAATTATTTGTTCTTCGCAGGGTCAAATAAAAGTGTTATGCCTGGAAAATATAGGGCTGACGTAGGGAGTCACGTGAAGGAGAGGGCAACCTGCTCCTGTCAAAACGGCAGACACGTGCCAGACCAGCCAGAAGTTGTGACGATCCCACGTGTCAATTCCCTGCTCCAGATCGTGCAAATCACTCTGGAAGATGGGCAATGTGACATAAAGAAGGATTTGTCCTGACTCTCCCACCAACTCACAGATTTAATGATCATTACTTCAATCCATCTCACTATAAATTGGAGACTACTCTCTCATTTAGGGGATTCACCCATTTTACTCTTAATCAGCTATTCTCTCTCTTGTACTTTTCACCATTTGTAAATCATTTGTAAGTCAATCCGTTGTTGCGACCTGACCCCCAATATTAATACAAACATCAGTGGATGTAGGACTTGTTACCTTAGCATCCGAACCACTTTAAAAAGCTCTCCCTACTGCATTTACTACGACCTTTATCTATACCCACGTGTGTCTCCTAGGCCAACCAGCGTTTCACACGTGTTTTTTAGTTGGTGTCAAAATCACGCATCAACAGTTTGGCGCTAGAAGGAGGGCATGATTTAGTGTTCGTCCTTCATCAGGGGAATCTTTAACTTACGGGTCCTACAACAGCAAATGGCTCATCGATTTGAACCTGAAAAAACCAACCAGAACACTGACGGGATCCCTCAAATGTAGGAGGATGCCTCCCCAGGGGTGCTCTCGGCTCTGCAGACCATCGCAGGGAACATCCCGTCAAGTTCACAACTTGATCCTGCCGTTCTAAGCTACTTAGAGAGGTTCAACAATACTCTCCAAACGGTCAACCAGAGGTTGGACCATTTAGACCAGGGCGTGCCATCCAAATCGGTTGGGGTGGTGCAACCGCCAAAGACGCTTGCAGGTCACGCGAAAGCGTGGCAAAGGGAAATAGCCCGTGCCGCAAGCACAGCAGCGTGTAGGCGAAAAGGTAAGCAAGTGGCAAAAAGCAAGCCTACGTGCTCCAAAGGGCCAGCAAACACAAACCGTGTCTCGAGCAGAATACCGACAAAGTTGAGACTCGGTGAAAAGGTGCTTCCTGAGCTGTCCCATGCCACGTCGCAAGTGAACCCAACTAAAAGTGCTGGGCGGGGCGATTCTTATCACAGCCAGCAGAACAATCCTGATCATTATCGTGCGGGTGGTTCCCACACTTCGCGGGGTGGTTCGTACCATCGCGAGGGTCGTGAAAATACCCGGCATCATCTATCGCCATCACACGACTCTAGCCAGCGTGTGTCGAGAGCGACCGGGACAGCCGGCTGAGGCGAACAGGAATCCGACCTCCGGACTTTCCTAAACCGTGATCGCAAGGGCCGAATTCGCATGGGTGAAAGCAACCCCCAACTGGCTCCATTGCCAAAAATTAAGGAGCTACAGGAAGCTCTAGACCGACTAAGAGCCCAGCAAAATGAGCAGGGGCAGGTCGCATCTGCGTCTCCCTTCTCTCCCGAAGTATTAGCCACTCCACTCCCACCAAGATTCAGGATGCCCGACATGCAAGCGTTCGATGGGAACTCTGACCCACATGATCATTTGTATGAATTTAACGACCTGATGGAGCCTCACCAGGTCTCAGATCTTGCAAAATGTCGTTGTTTGGCCGTGACTTTAACCTCTCATGCCAAACGGTGGTTCAGGTCGCTCCCAGCGGGATTGATCAGTTCGTGGCCTCAGATGAGCACGACGTTCCTAAGGCATTTTCAAGCAAATCGGAAGTTCTCTATGCCTTTGAGCTATCTCAGCAATATAAGGCAAGAAAGGGATGAATCCCTACAGTCCTACATTGATCGTTTCCACAAGGAACTCAACAAGGTGGCTCATGCTCCCGAAGAGTCCATTCGGACCCTCATAATAACAGGAGTTTGTCCACAAACCGACCTGTGAAAGGAATTACAGGCTGAGGACGATGTTTCCCTCACCCGATTCTATAACCTTGCGGAGAAATACCTCCAGATAGAAAATTCGTTGGCAGCACTCCGCCGTTGCGACCACGGTGCTCCAAGCAGTATGTCTAGTTGGGGGGAAAGCAGAAGAGCTGATCGCGGAGGGGCCGCTGACGATCAGCGAAAAGGAAAGAAACCTCGCTACGAGCCTAGAAAGTCCTATGCTCATGTTCCTCATCACGATCGCGACAGGAACCAATATACTCCATTCAATGCATCTGTATCAGCTATTCTTGATAAGTCCGAAGAGGCTAGCCTGCTCAGAGAGCCCGAGCCCATGAAAACTCCTGCGACAGCCAGAAATAATAAAAAGTACTATCAAGTACAATGGGCACTAGACCGATGAGTGCCACGCTCTAAAGCAAGCAATCGAGGAGCTCATCAAGAAGGGGTGTTTCAAGGAATATATCAATGACTCTGCTCCCTCGCAAGAGAAAAATCAGGGGGAGCCTAGTAAGAAGCACCGTGATCAGAAAGGTGTGTGTAGTCTCAATTTGATTTTCGGGGGACCGCACTTCGTTGGAAACTTGCGAGGTGCCCGAGAAAGGTATGCTCGCGAAGCACATCATGACCCCATCAGAGTGATGAGTGCAGAACAACGACCACAAAAGGTTCGCAGGGAGGAGGAAATTTCCTTCTCCGAAAAGGATGCGGCCAGATTGCATCATCCCCAAGATGACGCCTTTGTAATCACGCCCCTGATAGGATGCTATAATATCCACAGAATGTTAGTGGATAACGGAAGTGCTGTGAACATCCTGTTTGCTTCCATTTTCGAAAGGATGAATCTGGATGAGGCCGACCTGAAGCCTGCCTTGTTCCCATTGTACGGTTTCAAAGGAGACCACTTACTCCCTAAGGGGACGATCTCGCTCCTAGTCACACTAGGCGATTCCGAAGTGACCAAGGTAACTGAGTTCTTAGTAGTAGATTGCCCATCAACCTTCAATGGAATCCTGGGGCGACTTCTGCTAAGACACTTCAAGGCGTTCACTTCAATTTACCATCTAAAGATGAAATTCCCCACCCCGAGGGGGATCGAGGAAGTCAACGGGTCTCAGCGCGTATCGCGCGACTGCTATGTGAAAGCGGTCCAGATGGCGTGCAAGGGAAAGGGCACCTCGCTTGGCAACCACGGACAGACAATGGCAATCAGCCGGATCAAACCATGACCTGGCCCGGCCGAGGACAATATAGACCCTCGCATCCAAGACTACCCTTCTAGTGGGCCAGTTGAGGACCTAACTAAAGTACTGGTCGACCAGAACGAACCGAGCAGGGTGCTAAGGATCGGTAAAAATCTCAACCCCCAGCTCTCTACCAAACTGACCAGCTTCCTCAAGGAGAACATCGACGTGTTTGCATGGTCGCACGCAGACATGGTCGGGATCGGCCCAGATGTTATATGCCATGCGTTAAACATCGACAGCGAAGCCAAGCCAGTTCGCCTAAAAAGAAGAGTAATGGATCCGGAGTGATATGCCACCTTAAAACTAGAGGTGGATAACCTCCTCCGAAACGGGTCCATCGGAGAGGCACTCTACCCGACCTGGGTTGCCAACCCGGTTCTGGTAAAGAAGCCCAATGGCAAGTGACGAACCTGCGTCGACTTCAGCGACCTCAACAAAGCTTGCCCTAAAGATAGCTTCCCCCTGCCAAGAATTGACCAGCTCATAGATGCCACCTCAAGGCACGAGCTGCTAAGTTTCATGGACACATACTCAGGATATAATCAAATTCTGATGTATGCGCCAAACGAAGAGCATACGTCTTTCATTACAAATCGGGGACTGTACTACTATAAAGTCATGCCTTCGGCCTCAAGAACGCTGGCGCGACCTACCAGTGATTGGTTAACTGGATGTTTGCCAATCAGATCAGTAAGTCAATAGAGGTCTATGTAGATGACATGCTGGTCAAATCCTATGTCCCTTCAGATCACGTGGCACATCTCGTAGAGATGTTTGATATCCTCTGACTCTATAGAATGAAACTGAACCCTCTCAAGTGTTTGTTTGGGGTATCCTTGGGTAAATTCCTAGGGTACATAGTTAACCAGCGAGGAATAGAAATCAACCCCGAGAAAATCCAAGCTCTCCTTGATATGGAAAGCCCGACCAACAAGAAACAGGTCATGAGTCTTAATGGGCGAATAGCGGTACTAAGTCGCTCCATATTGAGCCTAACAGATCGCTGCTTGCCGTTCTTCAATGTCCTGAAGGCCAATAAGAAGTTCGAGTGGACTCCCGAGTGCGAATAGGCATTCCAAAGTATAAAAGAACACTTCGGGAAGCCACCTCTCCTGTCCAAGCCTCCTCCACAAGAAATCCTACCCCTGTATCTGTCCATCTCTCAGTTCGCAGTCAGTGCAACCCTGGTTCGGGAAGAGGAAAAGGTCCAATGGCCAGTGTACTATGCGAGCAAGCACCTGTCGGATGCCGAGATGCGGTATCCGAAAATGGAACGATTAGCCCACGCCTTGCTGATCACTTCCAGAAAGCTGCAACTTTACTTCTACACCCACACGATCCATGTAATGACTAATTACCCCCTCAGACAGGCCCTCCAGAAGCCAGATGCCTCGAGTAAATTGCTTAAATGGGCAATGGAATTGAGTCAGTTCGACCTGAAGTACAAGCCAAGGTAGACTATCAAAGGGTAGGTTGTTGCTAACTTCATTTCAGAATTCTCCTATCTTCCAAACTAGTCGGAGCAACAGCCCAGCAAAGCCATCCAGGAAACAGCTCAGAATCTGTCGACTTGGAGCCTCTATGTTGACGGATCATTGACCAGGAAGAGAGCGGGTGCAGGTCTCCTCCTTTTGAGCCCCGAAGGGGCTCATATTCACGGCATCCTCCAGTTCGGATTCAAGGCAACCAACAATAAGGCCGAGTATGAAGCCCTGCTCGCTGGATTGCGGTTGGCCAGGGAAATGGGTGCAATCACGATCAGCGTCCACAGCGACTCCATGCTGGTCGTTAACCAAATTCTAGGAGAATACCAAGCCAAGGAAGAAAACATGATCCGTTATCTGAAAGAAGCTAAGGCCGCACTTGAGTTGTTCAAGCACTTCGCGATCACCCAGATCCCCAGAGATAGCAACTCTGTGGTAGACGCTCTAGCGAGGATAGCCTCATCGTTGGAATCAGAGGCACCAGATAGTATTCTTGTTCGATTCGTCGAGGCCCCGAGCATCTGCCCGACCGAACAGGCCGTGAATGTAACAGAATCGGATTCCTGGATGACTCCCATTTTTCGGTACCTTAAGGATGAGATCTTGCTTGACGACAAGGTCGAGGCACAGATTCTGCGAACAAGATCTACTCATTACTCTCTCACCGGAGACCAACTGTATAGGCGAGGGTTCAGCGCCCCTCTCATGAGGGAAATTATAGGGTTAACGTAGGGAGTCACGTGAAGGAGAGGGCAACTTGCTCCTATCAGAACGGCAGGCGCGCGCCAGACCAGCCAGAAGCTGTGACGATCCCACGTGTCAATTCCCTACTCCAAATCGTGCAAATCACTCTGGAAGGTGGGCAATGTGACATAAAGAAGGATTTGTCCTGACACTCCCACCAACTCATAGATTTAATGATCATTACTTCAATCCATCCCACTATAAATTGGAGACTACTCTCTCATTTAGGGGATTCGCCCATTTTACTCTTAATTAGCTATTCTCTCTCTTGTACTTTTCACCTTTTGTAAATCATTTGTAAGTCAGTCCGCTATTGCGACCTGACCCCCAATATTAATACAAACATCAGTGGACGTAGGACTTGCTACCTTAGCATCCGAACCACTTTAAAAAGCTCTCCCTACTGCATTTACTACGACCTTTATCTATACCCACATGTGTCTCTTGGGCCAACCAGCGTTTCACACGTGCTTTTTGGTTGGTGTCAAAATCACGCATCAACAAAAAGCAATAGCTGTTTGCTTATGTTAATTTGTCACTATCTACATAGATAGTCCAAGAGGCCAAATTTTGGTGAGTTATTTTCTTTGTACTTACCAATAACCATTAATTATTTATCAGAAATATTGGATAAAATATTTAAAATCTATTTTTGTCAATGGAATTAAAACTAAAATATCATTTCAATTAAATACTCAATAAATGTGAATGAATGATATGTCAATCGAACAATTATACCACATTTGTTTGTATATCAAGTGGTGCTG